CTGGGGGCCGCCCCCCAGCCACACCACGGAGGCTTGGAGCAGGTGCCCCTCTGGTTGATCTCTCAGGCTCCTGGCCACATCTGTGTGTTGTTCTCTCCCTTGAACGGTGGCCAGGGCAGGCTGAAAGCCTGGGTTGCCCAACCCAGGCCCCCAGCCACTCCTTGAGCAGTGGCCAGGGCGGGCAGGAAGCTTGGCTTCCTCCATTGCCAGAGGCAACCCAAGCCTCTAGCTTTGTGGCCGCTGCCATCTTTGTTGGGTTAGTTTGCATACTCGCCCTGATTGGCTGGTAGGTGTAGTGGAGTGACTAATTTGCATGTTTCTCTTTTATTAGTGTAGATATTTTTCAGTAACTTGTAAATTATATAATAAATGTATACTTTCTCTGTTGTTGGTCTTACAACTTGATGTATAATAAGCTGCCCATTTTGAAGTGTAGAATTTGGCGAGTTTTGACATACATTATACACTCATGAAACTATCACCACAATCATGATAATATACCTTGTCCTCATCCCCAAACACTATAGATTAGTTTGTATTTTCTATAATTTTATATAAATGGAATTATACAATACATACTAATTTTTGTCTTCTTTTATTCATGTCTTTTACTTCAAGGATTTTGAGATTCACTGATGTTGTTGAGCATACCATTAATTCCTTTATTTATTTATTTATTTGTTGTGGAGTAGTAGTTCATTCTATAGATATACCAAAATTTTTATCCACTCATATTTTGTTAGACTTACACGTGAATGACTCTTACAATAAGCTGCTGTGAAAGTGAGAGTATCAGTCTTTGTGTGGACATAGGCTTTTATTTTTGGTAGGACAGGACTGCATGCCTAATGTCCTAAGAGACTACCTAACTATTTTCTAAAATTTAAATTTCTGCCAGTCATATATGAGTCTTCCAGTTTTTCCACATCAATACCAACAATTGATATAGTCAGACTTTTTATTTTAGCCATTCAAATAGGCATATAGTGGCTTCTCACTGTGATTTTAATTTGTATTTCCTTGATGACTTATGGTGTTGAGCATCTTTTTATATACAAGGTATCCCCAAAAAATGTTTACACACTTTAACAGCTAATAGCTCAATTTTGAAAATGAAATGTATTTTAATAAACATTGTCTTTATAATTATTCAAAGTGTCTGTATACATTTTGGGGGAACACCCTATATTTATTGGCCATTTGTATATATTCTATGGCAAAATGTTTAAATCTTTTGCTCATTTGCTGGGGTTGGGAGGAGAGGGGAATTTTTTGCTTATTATTGATAAAGTAGGAGTTATTTTTATATTATGGAGATGAGTCTTTTGTCTAATACATGGTTTGCATATATACCAATCTGTGGCATGTCTTTTCATGCTCTTAATGAATTTTGAAGATCAAGTTTTTGTTTTGATAAATTCGAATTTATCAATTTTTCCTTTATAATTTATATTTTTGTCCCATATCTAATAAATCTTTGTCTATCTCAAGGCTACAAAGCTTGTCTTTAATGTCTTTTTCTAGAAGCCCTATAGCAGGGGTGGGGAACCTCTGTCCCATGGGCCATATAAGGCTCAAGAAATCATTTGGTCTGGCCCTACCAAGGCCTTAGGGGTGGTTTAATTAAATGTTTGACCAAATATAGCTGCTAATTTTTAAGTTAATAATTTTGTATGGTCTAATGATGATATTATAAATATCAAAATGACCCTTGGCAGAAAAAAGATTTCCCATCCCTGCCCCATAGTTTAGGTTTCACATATATAATCCATTTTGAGTTAACTTTTGTGTATGGTGTGCAGTAGAAGGTCAAGGGTTATTTTTTTCCATGGGACTATCCAGTTGATCCAGCACTAATTGTTGAAAAGATTTCCACTGAATTGCCTTGGCATTTGATCAAAAAGTGATTAACCACATATGTGTGGGGCTATTTCTGTACTCTCTGTTCTGTTACATTCATCTGTTTGTCT